GAAAAACTCCACAAAGTCTACAGCGACTTCCTCGTTCTCACATTGACAGGAACCAACGGGGAAGAATACACCCTCACCTTCATCGACGCACACTCTCGCTTCGTCTGGGTCGCCAACGTCTCACACAGAAGCAAGGCGTACGACATCTTCAAAGTCTGGCACGCCAACGCTGAAACACAGTCCGGTTGCACGCTCAAGCTGTGGCAAACCAACTGCGCAAAAGAGTTCAAGCGCGACAAGCTGGCAACATACCTGCAGGAGAAGGGAATCGTCCACAAGCTCTCTCTCCCGTACGCTCATCCCCAGCAAGGCGTCGCCGAACGCACCAACCGCACTCTCATGACCAAGGTCCGCGCCCTCCTGCAGCAGAGCGACGTTGACGCGAAGTACTGGCCCTACGCCATGCATCACGCTGTCCGTCTACACAACCTGCTCAGCACCACTGCCAATACCAACAACCTCTCTCCTCACCTCAAATTCACAGGCACCAAGGGCGACGTCTCCATGCTACGCGTCTGGGGGTGTATGGTGCAGTATCGGCCTGCAGCCGCAAACACAGGGAAGTTCGAACGTCGCGCTCGCTGGGGGGTGCATATCGGCATCAGCTTTGAGCACCACGCTTGGAACATCCTCGACCACGACACCTCACGAATTGTCGCGGCCCGCAACGTCATATTCTACAAAGATCTCACAATCCGCAAGTTCCAGACTGATCGCCACACCGACCGCACCAGGGGAGAGCACAACGTCGATGACTACGAGCGTCCACCGCGCAGCTTCGCCACTCCTGAAGATGAAGCAGAAGCAGCACTCGCGGACCAAGACCCCACGGATCCTCTTCCCGGCCCTCGCCCCTGGAGTGACGAAGATGACGACGAAGATAGCGCACCGCTCGACTCTTCGCGCGATTCCCTGCTCAGCCCCACCCCCTCAGGCGGCCACGACTCTGACGACGACGTGGTCGAAGTCAACAGTGACCAGCGCCACAGCCCCGGCCTGTCTGGACTACACATCCTCGGCCTTCACACAGCTGTCTCCCGCCCTCCAAAGGCGGTTGAACCCAAAACCCCACGCCAGGCCCTCACGGGACCCTACGCCAAGGAATGGCGCGCTGCTATGGACGTCGAAGTCGCCGCACTCGAAGCTCGAGAAACATGGGTCCTCGCTGACCGCGCAGCGCTGAAGGGGAGACGCGTCCTCTCTGGTAAATGGGTCTTCCGTGTCAAAACTGCAGCCGACGGCACCATCGAACGCTTCAAGGCCCGCTGGGTCGTCCGCGGCTTTGATCAACGTCACGGCGTTGATTTTGATCAAACCTTCGCTCCCGTCAGCCGCCACACCTCGGTTCGTATTCTCCTCGCCATCGCTGCCGCCAAACACCTTCCACTCCGTCAGATCGACGTCAAAAATGCTTTCCTCTACGCGCCAGTTGACGCCCTCATCTTCGTCGAGCAACCTCACACCTACGGCGACGGTGACGACCGCGTCTGTCAGCTCAAGAAATCCCTCTACGGCATCAAGCAGGCCCCGCGACTCTGGCAGCAGCATCTTCACCAAATCCTCCTTGACATTGGCTTCATCCAGCTACCTCACGACCCCGGCATGTATCGCCTTCACTTCCGCGGCGATTATATTCTTCTCACGGCTTACGTCGACGATCTTCTCTACACCGGCACCAGCAACGAGCTCCTCGCCCAGTTCGAGAAAAACCTCAGCAACCGCGTCGAAATCACCAGCACCGATCAAGTGGCCCAGTTCCTGGGCCTCAACATCTCCTACACAGCTGACGCTGTCAAACATTAAATATGTTTGTGTTCTCTAGGCTGTAGTGGGTTTAGCCTTAGGGGTACAATCTCTAGGGTTTCATACTTGTACTCCCAACTTTCCCAATGCAATCACTTCACTCATTCTGACATGGTATTACGAGCCTAGGGTTAGGAACCTAGGACCGTCCTTAGGGCCCACCGTTTCCGCTCGAAGCGCCCTCGTGCGCCGTCCTTTCCTAGCGCCCTCGTGCGCCTCGCTCCTAGTGCGCCCTCGCGCGCCTCCTCTCCTCTTACGCTGCCCGTGCGCAGCCGCTAGCAACCCGCGCACGCGGCCCGTTTTCCCGTCGCGTAGCCCGCTAGCCGCCCGTGCGCGGCCCGTTCTCTGAGCGCGCGACCCCCTAGCTGCTCGCGCCGTCGTCGCCGCCCACGCGCAACCCGCTAGCCGCCCGTCGACCGCCGCCGCGTCCCCTTAGGCCGCCGCTGCGAACCTAGTGCGGCCCGCTAGCCGCCCGTCGACCGCCGCCAGCACGAACGCAGCCGCGGCCCGCGCACAGCCGCACCTTAGGCATCGCCGCGCACCGAGCATAGGCCCGTCGTCGCGCCGCCCTGCCTGCTCGAGTCGCGCCGCCCGAGTCGCGCCGCCCGAGTCGTGCCGCCCTGATCGCGCCGCGCCGCCCCACCTGTAGCAACTGCTGTTCCTGTTACTGCTACTGCTACTGCTGCTACTGCTACTGCTGCTACTGCCACTATGGCTAGTCCTACCGTTCTCACCTTTGACTCTGAGGGCCGCCCGATTAAGTTTGACGTTTGGATCGATGACCTGCACCTGTTCCTCCAGATCACTGCCAAGGACGATGTTTCTCTGTTTGACCACACGTCCGGAGTAGCTCTCGCACCTGCTGCTACCGCTGACAGTACAGCTCGCTCACAGTGGCAGACCCGTGACGCGCACGCTCGCCTAGCCGTTCGCAGCCACCTGCCGTTAGATGAGCGCGAGCACTTTGGACAGCATAAGACAGCCAAGGAACTGTACGATGCAGTTATTGCGCGCTACTCCTCCCCTGCTACTGCTGAGATAGGCCGTCTGTCACTGCCCTATCTCTTCCCCGATCTGTCCGCCTTTGCCACTGTAGCTGACCTTATCACTCACCTCCGTACTAGTGATCTCCGCTATCGTGCCGCGCTTCCTCCTGACTTTCTCGCCAAGAACCCTCCCCCGATGTACCTCACACTCTACCACCTAGTCACTCGCCTCCCTGACACTCTTCGTGCTGTCAGGGACCACTTTCTCGCTCTCTCTCCCACTGACCTCACTGTCGACCTGCTCGAGAAGGAGCTCCTTGCAGCTGAGAAGGGTATTGTAGCTGTAGGTGCCTCTCGTGGCGACCCTCGCACTCCCTTCTTTGAGGGGTGTTCCCCCGTCCCCCTTCTCCCCTCCATTGCATCTGCTACTGCTGTCGACTACCTTGGTGCTGAGGAGGTCGGGGCTGCGTCTGCTCCTAGTTGGAGGCGCAAGAGCAGCAAGGGAAAAGGGGGCAAGGGTGGAGGAGGTGGAGGCAGGGGCGGCAGTAGTGGAGGGGGTGGAGGAGGCGGGGGTGGTGGCGGTGGTGGGAGTGGTACTGGTGGGGGGGGGTCAGTGGCGGAGGAGGGGGTGGTGGCGGCGGCGGTAGTGGGGGTGGCGGTGGTAGTGGTGGCGGCGGTGGAGCTGGTGGCGGGCGTGGTGGGGCGGTGCAGCGTGGAGGCCAGAGGCAGCAGCAGCAGCGTCCCGGCGAGACCCCGACCTCCCAGCAGCTCCGTGAGTGGTACTCTCAGCGTGGGGGGTCTGGGGGTGGAGGTACCTGCCCGTACCTTATCCGCACAGGTGACCGCACTGGCCAGACCTGTGGGAGGTTCCACACGGCACACCGCTGCTTCTTTCGTCTCGACGACGCCTGGCGTGCACAGTTTCCTGACGCCACTGAGCTGCCCCGCAGGGCTGATCTGATGAGAAAGAATATTGATGTCTTTGCTCTTGACTTTGATGCTATCCTTGGTGCCATGTATGCATTGACTATTATTGGAGAGAGTGACCAGTACCTGCGTGTCCCGCCTGACCCGGGCATTAGGACCAGTGAGGCTGCCGCTCTAGGTGCCAGTGCGTCTGCTGCCCCAGGTGCTGGTGAGACTGCTGCCCCAGGTGCTGGTGAGGCTGCTGCTCTAGGTGCTCGTGAGTCTGCCCCCCCTGGTACTGAGTCTACTGAGGCACTGCACACCTTCACACTGGACTCAGGTGCTTCTTGCTGTTTCTTTCGTGACCGCACTGCCTTAGAGCAGCTTGCTCGGCCGGTTGCTGTCTCCCTCGCTGACCCCTCTGGGGGTCCGGTCATTGTGACCTCCTCCACTGTCCTCCCTTGTCCTGCGGTCCCGTCGGGCACACTGTCAGGTCTCTACCTCCCCTCGTTCTCTACGAACTTGGTGGCAGGTAGTGCACTTCAGGACGGGGGTGTCCACTAGTTCACCCCTGCCTACGAGCGTGTGACACACTGCACGTGTGCTCAGACGGGTCGCCACCTGGCTACCTTCACTCGGCAGCCGGGGTCGGACCTGTACACACTGACCACTGAGTCCCCTCAGGTAGCTGCGTCTGCGTCTGCGTCAGGTCAGCTGTCGGCCCCCTGCTCGTGTCGCTCTCTGGCACACGAGACCGTCCTCTGGCACCACCGCCTTGGTCACCCGTCAGTGCAGCGCCTTCGTGGCATGCACAAACGGTACCTTGTCTCTGGTCTTCCCAGGGTTCTCCCTCCCCTCCCACCCTCGCCTGCTCCTCCTTGTCTTCCCTGTGTCGAGGGGCGGCAGCGCGCCGCTCCTCACTCCTCCTCGTTTCCCCCGACGACTGCTCCCCTGCAGACGCTCCACATGGACGTGTGGGGCCCAGCCCGCGTCCGTGGACAGGGTCACGAGAGGTACTTCTTGATAGTTGTTGACGACCACTCGCGCTACACCACGGTCTTCCCCTTGCGCACCAAGGGTGAAGTCCCTGATGTTTTGATCCCTTGGATCCGCGCTGCCCGTCTCCAGCTTAGCGAGAGGTTCCACTCGGACTTTCCTGTCCTGCGTCTGCACTCTGACAGAGGTGGGGAGTTTTCCTCCGACCTCTTGAGGGCCTACTGTCAGGGGCAGGGCATTGAGCAGTCGTTCACGCTTCCGGCCTCTCCACAGCAGAATGGGGTTGCTGAACGCCGCATTGGCTTGGTCATGGAGGTCGCTCGTACCTCCTTGATCCATGCGGCTGCTCCCCACTTTCTGTGGCCGTTTGCGGTCCGATACGCTGCGCATCAGCTCAACCTCTGGCCTCGTGTCTCCGTTCCGGAGACTTCACCGACACTGCGTTGGACGGGAGAGGTTGGCGATGCGTCGCGTTTCCGGGTCTGGGGATCTCGAGCTTTTGTCCGCGATACGTCCGCGGACAAGCTCTCCTCTCGCGCTGTTCCTTGTGTCTTCCTTGGCTTTGTCCCGGACGCGTCTGGTTGGCAGTTTTACCACGCCACCTCGCGCCGTGTCCTGCCCTCTCAGGACGTCACTTTCGACGAGTCGGTCCCCTACTACCGCCTCTTCCCCTACCGCACTGCCCCGCTCCCCCCCCCGCCTCTCTTCCTCGCACCAGGTGCTGCTGTGGTAGACCCCCTCCCCCCTCAGGGTGCCGCTCCCTCAGGTGTGTCCCAAGTAGACCCGGTTGAGCCTGTCGAGGTAGCTGTCGACTCTCGTCCTGCTAGGGGTGCTGAGCCTGAGCGTGCGGAGCCTGGGGGTGCGGAGTCTGGGGGTGCGTAGCTTGGGGGTGCTGAGCCTGGGGGTGCGGAGCCTGCGGGTACGGAGTCTGGGGGTGCTGAGTCTGGGGGTGCTGAGACTGGGGGTGCTGAGCCTGAGAGTGCTACGTCTGAGGGTGCTGAGCCAGAGGGTACTGCGACTGACCGTGCTGCACCTGGAGGAGCTCCCTCCTCCCAGCAGCTGCGGGAGTGGTACTTGCAGTACTGCAGCCTCAGGAGGGGCGCTTCTGGAGCTAGGGGTGCTGCTGGAGCTGGTGCTCGTGGTTCCCCTCCCAGGCGGGAGCCGCCCTCTCCCCAGCGGCTCCGAGAGTGGTACGCTCGGCGCTGCAGTCTCCGGAGTGGCGCTACTGGTGTCGCGGACCCTGGAGCTGGAGCTGGTGCTGGTGCTGGTACTACAGACGCAGAAGCTGCTGGTGGTGCTGCTGGCGCTGCTGGAGGTGCTGCTGGTGCTGGAGCTGCTGGAGGCACTGCTCCTGCTGGAGGTGCTGCTGGTGCTGGTGCAGTGGACCCTGGAGCTGGAGCTGCTGCTGGTGTTGGAGCTGCTGGAGGTGCTGCTGGTACTACTGGAGGTGCTACTGGTGCAGGTGCTGCTGGAGGTGCTGCTGGTGCTGGAGCTGCTGGAGCCGTTGGTTCTGTAGGTGCTCGTACTGGAGGTACTGGAGCTGCTGGGACTGGAGCTGCTGCGGGGGTTGGAGCTGGAGGTACTGGAGCTGCTGGGGTTACTGGTGGTGCTGAGGGAGTTGTCGCTGGAGACCCTGGGGCTGAGGGTGCTGGTGCTGTCTCTGCTGGTTCAGGAGGTGCTGAGCGGCCGCGACCGTACTACGTTCCGCTCCTTCAGCAGGTTCTTGGCCTCCCGCCCTCCACTGGTCTTTCTCCTCCCCTCCTGAGTCCACCACCTGTCCAGTCGCAGTCACAGTTACCGCTTGCCTCTCCGCTGCCTGGTCCTTCTCCTTACACTGCGCCGACGAGTAGTCTTACGGAGCGTCGTGAGCCTGAGTCTCGTCCTCCGTCGTCTGAGTCGCGTCCAGAGTCGCCTGTCCGCACTGTCCGCACTGGTCGTCGTGCTCCGCGTCAGCGTCCTCCTCCAGTCCTTGGCACTCACTATATGACCCTGCGTCCTTCCACTGCTCCACAGCGCGTCCCTCTGCCGTCTCCTCCTGCGTCCTCTCTTCCTGCCGTTGCTGACCCGCCGTCAGACTCCTTTCGTGCTGCCAGTCCTACTGTCACGCATTTCCTCGCCACTGTTCTCACTGACCCTACCTTTGAGTCCTCTGCTGCGTCTGCTCTTGTTGTTGAGCTTGCTGACTTTGCTGCCGCCTGTCGTCTAGACTACGCCGCTAGCCTTGTTGCTGAGTCTGAGTCTGTCTGTCCTCCGTCCGTCGGGGGTGAGTGTGCTCTTGGCACGGACGTCCTTGAGGACAGACAGGAGGAGTTTGAGTGCTTTGCCGCTGCTTTACCTCATCTCGTGTCCATGCTGATTGCCCCTGAGGGAGACCCGGATGCACCAGACATCCCGACCCCACGCTCTTACGCAGAGGCGATGGAGGGTCCCTACTCCTCTCAGTGGCAGACAGCCATGGACGCAGAGATGGCTTCCTGGAAGTCCACAGGCACCTACGTCGACGAGGTTCCCCCACCTGGGGCGAACATCGTCAGTGGCATGTGGATTTTCAGGGTGAAGCGGCCGCCGGGTTCTCCGCCTGTCTTCAAGGCGCGTTACGTTGCACGAGGCTTCAGTCAGCGAGAGGGAGTTGACTTCTTCCAGACCTTCTCCCCGACCCGAAGATGACCACTCTTCGGGTTCTGCTGCACGTCGCCGCTCAGCGTGACTACGAGCTCCACTCTCTTGACTTCAGCACTGCTTTCCTACAGGGCAGCCTGCACGAGGAGATCTGGCTGCGCCGCCCACCTGGCTTCACTGGGTCGTTCCCTCCTGGTACCCAGTGGAGCCTCCGGCGGCCAGTCTACGGTCTCCGCCAGGCACCCCGTGAGTGTCACGACACACTGAGGACGACTCTTGCTGCTCTTGGGTTTGCTCCTTCTACTGCTGACCCGTCCCTGTTTCTACGCACCGACACCACTCTGCCGCCGTTCTACGTTCTCGTGTACGTAGACGACTTGGTCTTTTCTACTACTGACACTGAGGCACTCGCCCACGTGAAGTCGGAGCTGCAGAAGAGACACACGTGCACAGACCTGGGTGAGCTGACAAGCTATCTTGGCTTGCGGATCACCCGGGACAGAGCACAGCGCACCATCACCTTGACTCAGTCACACATGGTGCAGCAGGTCCTTCAGCGCTTCCGCTTCACGTACTCCTCACCTCAGCCCACTCCTCTGCCTACCGGTCACTCGCTCTCAGCTCTGCCTTCGGGTGAGTCCGTAGAGCCGAGTGGCCCGTATCCAGAGCTTGTGGGCTGCCTCATGTACCTGATGACCTGCACTCGACCTGACCTAGCATACCCTCTTAGCATCCTAGCACGCTATGTCGCTCCTGGCCGTCACCGGAAGGAGCACATGGATGCCGCTAAGAGGGTGTTGCGCTACTTGTGCAGTACGTCGGGCATGGGGCTTGTGCTTGGAGGACGGAGAGACGTTGTCCTCACTGGGCACTCAGACGCTTCTTGGGCTGACGACCAGGCTACTCAGCGGTCGTCTCAGGGTTACACCTTCAGTCTTGGCTGTGGTTCAGTTTCTTGGCGTTCTACTCGCTCGTCTTCAGTTCTCAGCTCCAGTTGTGAGGCTGAGATCTACGCCACAGCCATGGCTGCACAGGAGTTACGCTGGCTCACCTACCTGCTGACCGACCTGGGAGAGCGGCCTCGTTCTCCTCCAGTGCTGTACGTCGACAACAAGGCCGCCCTTGCCTTGTGTCAGGAGCACAGACTGGAGCACAGAACGAAGCACATCGCTCTGCGCTACTTCCTTGCTCGAGAGCTGCAGCAGCGTGGTCAGCTTCGTCTCTCGTACGTGGCCACTCGGGCCAACACTGCTGATGTGTTCACCAAGGCACTTCCGCCTTGTGATCATCAGCGTTTCTGTACTGTTCTAGGCCTTGTGCCTACTGTCCCTCACTTGCTCACTTCTTGACTCTGCTTGTACTGTGATCTCTATATATATACCTGCATGTTTACACTTGCTAGGTTGTGATCACTGTACCTCTTGTTATATTATCAAACTGCATGTGAACTGGTCTTGTGACCACTTGCTTGTGCTCGGAATTTGTGTGGTTTCCTTGAGATCCACCCTGAGCTTGCTTTGCTTTGCTTTGCTTTGCTTTGACTGGTCTTGTGACCATCTGGTTGTCTCCCACTTTGCCTATGGGGGTGTGTCAAACATTAAATATGTTTGTGTTCTCTAGGCTGTAGTGGGTTTAGCCTTAGGGGGTACAATCTCTAGGGTTTCATACTTGTACTCCCAACTTTCCCAATGCAATCACTTCACTCATTCTGACAGACGCCATTCATCTCTCCGCCTCCAAGTCTGCTGAAACTCTCTCGGCCAAGTTCAACATCACGCCTGCCAACCTTTCAACTCCTTACCGCAACCCGGCCACCCCACACAACCCCAACACCACCCCACTCAACCCATCAGGACATCAGCTGTATCAGCAGCAACTCGGCTGCCTCCTCTTCGCTGCGGTAACATGCAGGCCTGACTTGTCCTACGTCTCGAGTCAACTCGCTCAGTATGCCAAGCGACCTGAAGGGGAGCACATGCTGGATCTACAGCGCGCCCTGCAATATTTCATCTCCACGCCACACATTGGACTCACCTATTCCACCCTCACGTCTCGCTCATTCAATCTCGTCGGTTACGTAGACGCAGATCACGCCGCCGACCCTGCAAATCGACGGTCCCGAACCGGTTTTCTCTTCCGCCTCGAACCCACTGGTCCAATTTCCTGGAATTCTCAAAAGCAAGAAATGGTGGCACTCTCCTCTGCTGAAGCCGAGTTCATCGCTGCCACATCAGCAGTTTGCGAAGGACTCTACCTCCAGGAACTGCTCCAGGAGGCGAAAATTGTGACATCTGCGAGCTTCAAACTTCACTGCGATAACCAGAGCGCGATCAAAATCGCGAACAAACCTGGCTTCGTCAACCGCACCAAACACATCGCACTCCGCTACTTCTTTGTCAAAGACGAAGTTGACAAAGGCAAGGTCATTTTGACTTACTGCCCCACTGGTGACATGGCATCTGATTTCCTCACCAAGAAGCTGCCAAGTCAGAAGTACCACCACTGCGGAAACATCTGCGGTATAACCAAGCGCGTCAAGACTTCGCTCCTCCAGGAATGAAGGGGAGTGTTACGATATGGAATGTTGAATAAACATTCCTGAGTAACGAATCCTTAACGCGAAGATGACTGCAGCGAGGACGAAGACCGAGCGACAAGACAGCTATCGAAGACAGTTTACAAGCAGGAAGATTTCCAAGTGCAAAGCGCGGGAAAACTTCAAACGGTTACTGAACCGCGTACGGTTACCGAACCGCACTGTTGCAATCCTGCATCTAGATTAGCCCTAAGGGGAATGTACCCCCTCAGAGTACATGGCTAGCTAGACCTTTCGTATTCCACTGTATTCCTATATAAACCCCTGTACCGCATTGTAATAGTCACTTTTGTCGAGAGTCAATTCTCCTTCTACTGACAGAGTCCGTACCCGACATTACCAAGCAAACTTCCGCTGCTACACTCCGTGCGATCAACCTGAGACGATCCTATAAGACGGTTCAGATTGTATCACCCGTATCACTAAGGATTTGTTTCAAGACAACCCTGTTGCCTCAGTGATTTTTTTCGAGTAGCGAACGTTACCTTGTACAGAGTACAGAGCATCTCGGTCACTTTTCTCGGCAAAAATGCCTTTCCTCGTAATTATTGAATAATATAGAGCTAAATGGCATGTTTTGTCGGGTGATGTGTCTCAGCTGTTTGTGTAATTCGAGAAGGGCGTGGTCGCGGGTTCGCTTCCTCTTGACGCAAGAGGTTCATCTTTGTTTACTCGGTTAGTAATTAGAGTTTTGCAAGGATGTATGTACCCTTTTGCCTAAGGATTTTTTTCTGGGGAGGAAAAACCCTGAGTAGAAAGTGTAATGACCGAGGGTCACGATTTTCAGTGTTTTGAAAAAACCAGCCCTTATAAACAGGGTTGTAATATTTGAAAAAAAAGCCCTGCACCCGGGTGTATTAGATATTTGCCACTGTTACCGGTATATACATTTTCGGACACTCACAGAACAGAGCTCACGTCTCCCCGAAAATGGTTGACACCTCGTGGTTTGCAGTTGGGCACCTGGTAACCACCCTGCTTCGAAACTGAAAGTGTTTGTTAACACCACCTCCCGTTCAGTTTTGTGATTCAGTTTTGTTTTATGAATTTGATTTACGGTATGACCCTAGGGTGGGTGGCTTGTCGGGTTGATTAGGGTGACAACTCCTCCATAATCTCCATGCGAGATGAACAAGAATGGTGAACTGAACTGGAAAAAAAATACACAAAATCTCCACTTGCATACAAGTATTGTCTGTGTCCCGTATGGCCATAAGTGTCAGGCTCAGGCAGCATGGCGGGAAGCGGCTAGATGATGCCTTGGCGGCGCAGGTCCTGGAAGGTCTTGCGGTCGTACACGTTGCCCTCGCGGTCCTCACACTCCTCCTCCACCTCCGGCCGCCACTTGCTGCCCCCCTGCTTCTCCCGCATGCGCTCCCATAGGGCTAGCGCGTCCTGTAGTGCAAGTCAAGCATGCGCAGTGCAGCGGGAGCCAAAGGGAACACGAAAAGTATGCAACAATGAGGGACACGCTGATGTAGCCTTGATGCTTGCATTGCCATAATACATGCCTGCTGATGCCGCCCACCTTGATGCCGCCCACCTTGATGCCGCCCACCTTGATGCCGCCCACCTTGATTCCGCCCACTTTGATTCCGCCCACTTTGATGCCGCCCACCTTGATTCCGCCCACTTTGATGCCGCCCACATCCCACCTTAATGACGGTGACTTCATGGAAGGCCTTGGTGTTGGGCACGCCGAGGCAGCGCATGCCGTGTTGGTGCCGGAACTCCCGGAAGTGCCGCTCGAACGCGCGCCGCCCCCAGTAGCTGTAGTTGCCGCATATCTCACACTTGAACTCCTGTGAGGGGGAAGGGGGAAGTGGGGGCCAGAGCAGCCCAGGTATCATGGCAGAGCACAAGGGATGAGGCGATGGGCAGGAGAGCGAGCACACAGAGTGGGCACCAGAAGGGCTCTGATTCTGAAGAAATGGCCCACTTGACCGCACCTGGTAGAGCCCGCACCTGGTAGAGCCCGCACCTGGTTGAGCCCGCACCTGGTTGAGCCCGCACCTGGTTGAGCCCGCACCTGGTTGAGCCCGCACCTGGTTGAGTCCGTGCAGCTTGTAGAGCCAGTAGGGGATGGGCTTGCCATCCCACCCCATGGGCAGCTTCAGCGGGTTGTATATCTCCTCCTCCTCCTCCTCGCTCTCCTCCTCCTCCTCCACCACCTCCTCCTGCCACCCACACACACAGGCGCACACAGTGGGGCACACAGTGGGGCACACAGTGGGGCACGGCCCATGGCGTATGGAATAAGGGAGTGCGCATGAATGAGGTTGATCAGGGGCGAAATGAGGCGAGGCACGGATTGAGGGCTTGAACATCAACGAGAGGACAAAAGAAGCAGGAAAATGGACCTGCTCCCACTGCTGCAACCATCCATACTTCATTCCCCAGTTCTCTTTCTTCGTCTCTCCCTTCCTTCCGACCACTCCATCCTTCCTCATTCTCTCTCCCTCTACCTTTCTCTTCCTCAACCCCCCACCCCCTCATCACGGACCTCCTCTCGCTCAGCAGCCATCTCCTCATACGTCAGCCCCGCCTTCTTCTCCACGTGCACCCGTGTCTCTGCAATGGGCTGCCACCCATGCATGGCATTGCGAGGAGGAGCCATGGGGGTGGTGGTGCATGCATGCACACGCACGTCATGCCACACACACCATCACACATGACAGAGAAGAGGTGCCGGGAGAGGGGAAGGTGGGAGAAGGTGGTGGTGATGTGAAGGTGGTGACAAGGGTGTCACAAGTAGCCAAACACACACCAAAAGCACGACACGAGTGAGTGATACACAAGGAACACGTATTCTACCAGCATCACACCTCACTCCACCACTCCCCATCGTCCACTTTCATCCCCCTCCCTCCCACCTTCCCTTCCCTCCCACCTCCCACTCCCTCCCACCTCCCCTTCCCTCCCAGCTTCCCTGCCCTCCCACCTCCCCCCTCACCGCCTCCAGCAGCTCGCACAGCCGCTGCACCTTCGCCTCCACCACCGCCACCTCGCGCGCCACACTGCCCGCGCCACCGCCGCCACTGCCGCCACCGTTGGTGCTGTCTGCAGCAGCGCTGGCGTTCCCCTTGCTGGCCTTGCCGCCCTTCTTCTTGGGCGGGGCGAACGCCTTGGCGAAGTGCTTCGGGTCGATGGCCTCAAAGCGCGTCGTCTGTGTGAGCAGGAGGCATGGCAGGGGGGAGTGAGGGCGTGATCGTGGAAGAAATGAGATGAGAGGGTGCAACAGGGTAGTGGCGCATGGCAGAGAGGGAATGGATGGAAGCGGGCCAAACAGCACTTGCCACTATACCCACAAGCCACACTCCCACCGCCCCACCTTGGCCATGAGCAGCCCCACCTTGGCCATGAGCAGCCCCACCTTGGCCATGAGCAGCCGCTCTGCGCGCTCGCGCGGTGTGCCCCCCGTCTTGAGCCCCAGCGCACCGAGCGCCTCCTTGACCTTGGCGGGCGGCACGAGGTCGGCGTCCAGCAGCTCGTCCACCGTGTCAAACTGTGATAGGTCCACCACACCCTGCTTCATGCCGTACCCCTCTCCGCCCTCTCCCCCCTCCTCCTCGCCCTCCCCCCCTTCCCCCTCACCGCGCAGCACCCCCGCCCACCCCAGGCCCTGGTCCTCCCACCCCAGCACCTGCCCCTGCTCCCACCGATCCGCGAAATCCTCCTCTAGCTGTCCCCAGGGGAGGAGGGGGGGGAGGGGAGGAGGAAGGGGGGGAGGGGAGCAGGAAGGGGGGGAGGGGAGCAGGAAGGGGGGGAGGGGAGCAGGAAGGGAGGGAGGGGAGGGGAGGGGAGGGGAGTGGGAAGATGTGAGCACAAGACAACGGCGGGGGAGGGGAGGGGGAAGAGAGCAAGTGAGGAGAAATGGGTGTAATTCAAGAGATGCGTTTGAGAGGCACGAGACTTAGCATTTCAGCAGCCGTAAACACACGATATCCTCTGTAACCGCGCATCTACTGCCTGCATGGCGCATGCTGTGCCCTTGTAGAGCACAACACGTTCCGAGACACAGCGAAGAAAGAAGAATCGCTTTGATGCCGTGCCGCTTCTCCCTCCATCCATGGCAAAGAGCAGCCCTCACATTGCCATGCTGCGTAGTTTGTTACACCACCTATATTCCATTATCAAGACACAAGAATTCATGAAAAGAAGGAGAAACCCAAGCATGTGTATGGTGCTTAGATAGCGTTCATCCCAATTGTTGGCCCACCTTGCGGTAGAGCGTGGGCAGGTCCTGCAGCGGGTGTGTGCGCAGGAAGAACGACTCCAGGTACTCCGCCACGCCCCCCATGTACAAGCGGTACGCCCTGTGCAGGGGGGACAGGGGGAGGGGGGGGGACGCGGGTGGAAGGTGCGGAGGGGGGGGGGGGGGGAGGTGAGGGGAAGCGGGACGGGAAAAATGAAGAGGAGAGAGGGGAGAGGAGGACGTGCTGGTGGGGACATGGGAACAAGGCAGGGCAGCACATATGGGTGCTGCTCTGAAGAAGGCTTTCATGCCGAAACTGGTTACCACGGATATTCGTTCACAAGAAGTTTTCTTCAAGAACAAACAAACAGGTTTGCCATATGGCTCGAGTCAGCCAAGCCGCATGGAGCTTGCCCCATCCACCTCGTTGGACACAACTTAACGGCTAGCCGGCACAGTTGTGCACGCATACGGACTCTGCTACCACTCACCCGCTGCGCCGCTACCACTCCCCCCCTGCGCTTAATAAGTCCCCCCCACCCCACCCGCTGCGCGGCATACTTGGTGAATTTGAAGTTGCGCGGGATCTTGTGTGTCTGCGGCAGCTGGTCGAGGAACGAGGCGTAGTCCATGGAGCGGCCGAACTTGGCGTTGCAGAACTGCTGGTGCGCCTCGTTCATGTCCACGTGCTTGCCCAACGCCTCCTGGGGACGGGTGGAGCGACGGATGGGAGGAGGGAGGGCAGGGAGGGCGTGCACAAGGGGGAAAGAAGGCAAGTGGGCCATCTAATGGCAGGCTGCATGGCTCAAGGTATGCAGCAGTCACTGCATTCGCAGCCGCGCCAGCTGGCAGGGCAGGTGAAGGGGCATGCCGCTCTATGCCTTGCTGATTTTGGGGCTCACCTCCTCGCTGAACTGCACCCACGGGTTACCTTGTTCAGAAAATCTCATGGTTTGCACTCGGCTTGTTGTCCTTGTGTGTGCGCATGTGCTTGCATATTATGGTATAAGAGCATGATATACTGTGTTTCATGTTTATATGTAAGTTTGAATGAGGAGTCATGATGTCGAGTGGGCTGAGTTGGGAAAGACGCTCAAGCAGGTAAGCGTCCTGCGTCCGGACGCTAGCCTGAGACGCAGGACGCTTGGCCCAAAAAAATCGGACGCGAAAGTCAATGTCGCAAAATCGGAACCCGCCCCAACCGAAATCGACCATTGAACCCCTTAACCAACTTTCCAACCCTAACGCACTAAACCGCACTAGATCTAGAACTTCCAACCAATGAGGCAAACTTCTTGATGCATTTAGGAGCACTTTGCCTTCATTTGTGCTCCTCCAACCTAGGTTCCCTGAAATCTCATTCGTAAACCCTAGAGGTTTAACCTAAGTTTCGCAACCAAGTTAGGATTTGTGAGGTTCTTTTTTGCCTGAGCTCCTAAGCTCCTTTCCCCCCTCCTCCCACTGCCCTATGTGAGGTTTTTTTGCCTGCCCGAACTTTTTCTTACCCTGCACGGCCCTGCGTCTTGAAAACTCACGATTGAGCATCCTGCGTCCAAGACGCAGGACGTGTCTTTCCTAACACAGCGAAAGGGTTTGTTGAGTCGTTTGCGGGTTTTCAGTAGTCGTGTGACTCGTGTGTCGCGTCTTCGTTTGCGCGGCATGTGTGTTTTCGATTTTATCGTGTGCGGAAGTATTTCGTTTAACAACTTAAGAAAGAATTTATAGTGAAGACACGAATCTTGGTTTCAAGATTCAAGTGATTTCGAACTTCGTCAAAATGGTAAACATCAAGATTATGGAAATAGTTGCATTGCAATGTGCAGTGAAATATTTCTCTTGGTGTGGGTAAATACGAAACCCATCGTGGTTAAGGACTGTGTAGTAATGTTCCACCCCCCGGACTTCGACTGTTGGTGTTTGTAGAATCTATGAGTCATTCCCAGCTACTTCATAATTTGAGCTCTAAAACTATGGTTGATGTTAGGGATGAGCAAGGGGCGAACACGAACGTGTTCGTGTTCGCCCCTGCACGAACACAGCCGTTCGCGAACCGAACAGTGCTCGGTTCGGCGAACACTTTTAGCAAAAACAGATGTTCGGTGTTCGCCTGTGAAGGCGTGTTCGGGCGAACCTCGAACACGTTCGTGTTCGACGCGGGGCAAATTGCAGCAGCGGCCCGAACACGAACGTGTTCGGGCGAACCTCGAACACGTTTGTCACGAACACTTTAAGCTAAAAAAAAAACATGTTCGGTTCTTTGCTCAACCCTAGTTGCTGACATACTGCCGTCCGTTCAAACCACTCTAGCGTCTTCATTTCTTTATCAAATCGAGTGATTTGACCTGCTTGTTGTAAAACGTTATCAAGTTTCGAATCTGCTCTGCCAAAATCCGTCTGTACACTCTATCTTTCGTTTAACGCACATTAGAGTCTATTGCGACTAAAACAAACCTCCTCGCTAAACTGCACCCAGGGCTCACCTCCCCGCTGAACTGCACCCAGGGCTCGTCCTTGATGAGCTCGTCCACGTCCGCCTCGCCCTCCACCACTCTCGCCCCCGGATGCCGCCTGTGGTACTCGCGGATCTGCCCCACGACAGGTGGGAGGGATAAGGGGGGGGTGGGGGAGAGGGTGAGAGGAGGTGGGGGGGAGAGAAGAGCGGGCAGCGGCGAAAGGAAGCGGTGAAAATAAACATCCATCCGATAGAGAGGGTGGCACCAGAATGAGGGAGGCGTGAGGAGGGAACGAATCTGACAAGGAGCGGGTGCCCTTTATTGCCCACTCTGCCCTCCCTGCCCCCTCTGCCCTCCCTGCCCCCTCTGCCCTCCCTGCCCCCTCTGCCCTCCCTGCCCCCTCTCCCTCTGTCCTCAGACCGCTCGTTGTGAAGGCATGGTGAAAACACCGCTTAAAGCCCCACTTTGGCGCACAAAACCACCCCTCACCGCGTGGTTCACTCGTGCATAAAGCCAACCATCAACACAGCTCTCTTCACCGAACTAAACCTGGCTTGACACATTGAGCCCCTCGTCACCGCACTGCACCCCTGGGGTGGAGTGGTCACCTCATTGAGGCGCTCGTAGAAGGAGGTGAAGACGGTGGCGCTGGGGTTGGGCGTGCCCTGCCCGCCCAGCGCCGCTATCTCGTCCCTCCTCGCCCCGTCCGCGTCCGCGTAGATCTCCGCCTGCCCCACACGCCCAGGTGTGCCCAGGGGGGCGGATGGGGGAGAGAGGGGAGGGAAGGCAAAGGGAGGGAAGGGGAGAAAACGGGGGGGTAAAGGGGAGGGAATGGGGAAAGAAGTGAGAAAGTAAATAGAAGAGTGAGAGCAGGAGGGTGGGAGCGCTCGACTCTGACCGCGTGGATTCCCGAAGAGGGGAGTTGTGGAGACGAGGAAGGGGGCGGTGGGGGACGGCGTAAGGAGGGGGGTTTGGGGGAGAGGTAAGTGTGAGGAGAAAGTTTCGCAGCAGGGCGGCCTTGGCGTGGTTGCGTAGGAGGGTGAGAGGGGTGATGTGTGAAGTGAAGGGCGCACAGCAGCGCGTGCAAGGCCGTGGTGGCTGGACTGGCAAGGGCGAATGGAGAGAAGGTGTCGGGGAGGTTAGGGCAAGAGGCAGGGTGGCGGGAGGGCGAGCACGGACAGCAGCGCTGTCTCTGCAGCAGTTATTTTTTCCGCCTGCATCCACGCAAAACGGAAATCGCCCCACCACCCATGACCCGCACGCACAGCGATTCCTCAAGGCCGCTGGACCAACTGTCGACGAAGATGAACAAGGCGACCCGCACAGCCACCGAACGTGAGGTGCGAGGCACGCAGGCAGGCTTAGGGGAGTGCAGCGAAGCGCATACGGTAGTGCAGCTTCGCGAATCGAGTCTACGAGATCCGCCTGTCCCTACTTGGTAACACTGCCCGCCCCGCTAGCATAGCTTCGCCCGCCGCCTGCGAGAGGAACGACGGAGCGACTTATATTAACGATACCGCCAGTGAGACCCTAAGCATCTCCACCCTAACGGTGCTGGCCGGCGACGCGTACCAGGCGCGCGCTGTTGGCGACGATGGCGTCGACGACGTTCTTGATGCGATGGCTCTGAAACAACTTCTCGCGGTGCGACGACACGCTCTGCTGCAGGTCCTTCACCGCCTGCCGCTCCAGCCGCTCGTTCTCCTCATGCGTCGCGCGCGCCTGCTCCAGCAGCGTGGACGCCATCGGAGTGCCGCGTGCGTGGTTGCACTGGTTACGAACACAGATCAATGCAAGACTCGTAACGAAAAACAATGGGTGTACAAAGCTGGTTTGGTAGTGCTCCATGCGAAACTAGGGTGTGTTCCGTGTGCGCCTCCCAAAGCAGCTTTGCTCCATTCACCAATGTGAAGCTTTCAAAACATTGAAGGTGTCCAGAAACACATGAAAGTTCCCTTGCGGGCGTGCGCTTGAACCAGTGCAAAGAAAAAAGACAAGGCCAAGGCAGATCGCCTCTCCGGTTCAAATGTTTATTACTTGAACCAGGCGTTACCCAGTTTACACTTGAACTAGAGCAGCGAGAGGTTTGTGGAATGGGGGAGGGAGTGGCGAAAAAGTGCCACGCTAGGGCAGCTGAGGCGACAAACTTGAAAACACGTGATGCAATATACTTCCAAACATCCATGGCGCATTTGTATCGCCTCTCATACATCGGGTCGGACCATCTAAGATACCAAGTGAATCGGTTGTGCCTTCCGAACCTTGATTTGCCTGAATTATGGCCCAGTTCGGCAGCCACGGAAGAAGGACGGAAGAAAAATTTCTGGCTTCTTCTATGAAGCTTCCAATCGCATTATCGAGGGCTCTACAGTGCGGGTTGTAGGGTAAACTTTTCGGAAATCGAGGCGCAGGTGTTTTACAGCAGCGACGCGAACACCATCAAAATTTGATTTCGCGCCGTCTTCTGTCCTTATTCTCCCCCCCCTGGCGAAAAGTTTCCGCCCTAGTGAGAGGGAAGAATAAAGTGATTCTTTGAAAACAGAAGAATCAACTTTTTGATTCCACAAGAATCACTGTTCACGGGACAACATTGCACCCTACGAAATAAAGGGTTACTGCACAAAAAAACCCTACTCGAGGGCAAATGTGCATGGGATTTTTTTTTTGGGCGCGAATTTTCGCTTTGCTACAGTCATCTTGGACATTCGAATGTGAGGGCAAATTTGCCTGGACCTGCGGTGTTTTTTCCTATCTCCCCCCTCCAACCTGCGTCGGTTCCCCCATGGCACAGGTTGTCCACGGTGCGGTCAAACCAGGGTCAAAATTCGTTGACTCTGGGTTGACGCGCGCCTCACCTTCCCCTCATCTTCCTAACATTTTGCTTCTCCCTGACTGCCGAACTGGGCCTATGAGTCAATTTGTGTCTGACTGACCTAATGTGTGACACGCGATATGAATGCGCCCGCAAACCCCGCGAATCCTCGTTTGGCTTGGTTTATTTTGACTTGAATTGGCGATCTTTAAAAGTTCATGGCTCGTGTCAAACTTTTGGTCTTCCAGTGAAGAGCCGAAGGTTTGCGGCAAAATTAGGCCAGAAGACCCAAAGCTCGGATGACCCAGATTGGGGCTCTGAAGACCGGAAGTTCGACACGAGCCAGGAATGTACCCTTAGAACTACGTAGTGCGTCGTAGCCATGTGGAGGGAAATGCGCGAAAGTTTTTTATTATTCAAACATTTGCTTGTTCCTGTTACGAATAGTAATTATTGAAGTATCACTGTGCAACTCCTCACCGCAGCAATCGAAGCACGCACTACCGAGAATGAAGGCGAAATGACGGAAGTGACGCGAAGGGTCGTACGGTTACGAAGGCATCTGGACCGTCGGGCAGACATCATCAGGCAGCGGCAGTGGCGAGGATTCTTCCCAGGCAGTTTGTAACCGCCTGGAGTCGCACGGTTGGATTTCGCTGTAATAAGAGAATGTACCCCTTAGAGTACATGGCTAGCTAGGTCGATTCGAATTCCTTCCTGTACTCTTATTTATACCTTTGTACTTGCATGTTTTTAATTTATCTCAAACATTTTACATTCACTCTGCTATTGAGGTCAAGGGCCCACCACCACTACTCCAACGTGTGCGAACCTTCCTGAGGTGATCCTAGGCACGATCAACTTCTGATCGCAACAGTTCCCACGCAATGTGTGTATAGCGTGATTTTGCCACCAAAAAGGCACTTTTCACACCCCTTTTTTTCAGTGCAACCCATACGTCTTTTCAATTATGCACCCCAGTGCACATGCTGTTGGAATAACCGATAGGTTCTTGTCAGAAATAGGAAAGAAGAATGACTAGAATGAGAGCAGTACAAGGTTTGTATAGCAAAACCTGATTGGGCTGTACCCCATAAGGAGTGCCCCACTACAGCCTAGAGCATATAAATGCATAGTTCTGACACACCCCCAAAGGCAAAGTGGGGGACAATCAAGAGAACGAAGCAAGGTCAGGCTCAAGGTGGATCACAACGTCACCACGCATTCTGAGCACAAGCAAATGGCCACAAGGCCAGTTCACATGCAGAGTTATATATAAAGAAGAACAAGCAGTACAGTGATCACACCCTAGCAAGTGTAAGCATGCAGGTATAAGTATATAGATCGCAGTACAAGCAAAGTCAAGAAGTGAGTAAGTTAGGCCAAGTAGGCACAATGCCTAGAACAGTACAGAAACGCTGATGATCACAAGGCTGAAGTGCCTTGGTGAAGATATCAGCAGTGTTGGCCTGAGAGGCCACGTAAACAAGACGAAGGTGACCACGCTGCTGCAACTCTCGAGCAAGGAAGTAGCGCAGAGCGATGTGCTTCGTTCTGTGCTCCAGTCTGTGCTCCTGACACAAGGCAATCATGGCCTTGTTGTCGACGTACAGAACTGGAGGAGAACGAGGCGGCTCTCCCAATTCGGTAAGCAGGTAGGTGAGCCAGCGTAACTCCTGTGCAGCCATGGCCCCTGCGTAGATCTCAGCCTCACAACTGGAGCTGAGAACAGAAGACGAGCGGGTAGACCGCCACGAAATAGAGCCAGAGCCAAGGCTGAAGGTGTAACCCTGTGACGACCGCTGCGTAGCCAAGTCGTCAACCCAAGAAGCGTCTGCGTGACCAGTGAGGACAACTCGAGCCCGTCCTCCAAGCACGAGCCCCATGCCCGGCGTACTGCACAAGTAGCGCATCACCCTCCTAGCAGCCTTCCAGTGCACTGGTCGGTGTCTCCCGGGCGCAACGTAGCGAGCCAGGATGCTAAGAGGGTAAGCAAGGTCAGGTCGAGTGCAGGTCATCAGGTACATGAGGCAGCCCACAAGCTCTGGATACGGGCCACTCGGCTCTACGGACTCATCCGAAGGCAGAGCTGAGAGCGAGTGACCGGTAGGCAGAGGAGTGGCCTGTGGCAAGGAGTACTCGAAGCCGAAGCGCTGAAGGACCTGCTGCACCATGTGTGACTAAGTGAAGGTAATGGTGCGCTGTGCTCTGTCCCGGGTGATCTGCAAGCCAAGATAGCTGCGCAGCTCACCCAGGTCTGTGCACGTGTGTCTCTTCTGCAGCTCCGACTTCACATGGGCGAGTCCCTCAGTGTCAGCAGTGGCAAAGACCAAGTCGTCGACGTACACGAGGATGTAGAACGGCGGCAGAGAAGTGTCGGTGCGTAGAAACAGCGACGGGTCAGCAGTAGAAGGGGCAAACCCAAGAGCCGCAAGAGTCGTCCTCAGTGTGTCGTGCCACTCGCGAGGCGCCTGGCGGAGACCGTAGACTGGCCGCCGGAGGCTCCACTGGGTACCTGCAGGAAACGACCCAGTGAAGCCAGGTGGGCGGCGCAGCCAGATCTCCTCGTGCAGGCTGCCCGGTAGGAAGGCTGTGCTGAAGTCAAGAGAGTGGAGCTCGTAGTCACGCTGCGCGGCAACGTGCAGCAGCACCCGAAGAGTGGTCATCTTTGGGGTAGGGGAGAAGGTCTGGAAGAAGTCAACGCCCTGTCGCTGACTGAAGCCTCGTGCAACATAACGCGCCTTGAAGACAGGCGGAGAACCCGGCGGCCGCTTCATCCTGAAAATCCACATGCCACTGACGATGTTCGCCCCAGGTGGGGGAACCTCGTCAACGTAAGTGCCTGTGGACTTCCAGGATGCCATCTCCACGTCCATATGGCTGTCTGCCACTGAGAGGAGTAGGGACCCTCTATCGCCTCTGCGTAAGAGCGCGGGATCGGGATGTCTGGTGCATCCGGGTCTCCCTCAGGTGCAATCAGCATGGACACGAGATGAGGTACAGCAGCTGCAAAACACTCAAAGTCCTCCTGCCTGTCCTCAAGGACGTCCGTGCCAAGAGCGCACTCACCCCCGACGGACGGAGGACAGACAGACTCAGACTCAGCAACAAGACTAGCGGCGAAGTCTAGACGACAGGCGGCAGCAAAGTCAACAAGCTCAGCAACTAGGGCAGACGCACCAATGGACTCAAACGAAGGGTCAGTGACAACAGTGGCTAGAAGACGAGTGACAGTAGGACTGGCAGCACGAGCAAGGTCTGACGGCGGGTCAGGGACGTCAGGAAGAGAGGACGAAGGAGGAAACGGTAGAGGGACACGCTGTGGAGCAGTTGAAGGACGAAGTGCCATCTGGTGCGTGCCTGGGACAGGGGGAGGACGCTGACGCGGAACGCGACGACCAGTGCAAACAGCGCGAACAGGCGACGCAGGACGAGACTCAGGCTCACGACGCTCCGTAAGACCACTAGTCGGCCTAGAGTAAGGAGAAGGACCAGGCAGCGGAGAGGCTGGCTGTAACTGCGACTGCGACTGGGCACGCGGTGGACACAGTAAGGGAGGAGTAGGACCAGTGGAAGGCGGGAGGCCAAGAACCTGCTGAAGGAGTGGAACGAAGTACGGCCGCGGCCGCGCAGCGCCTCCAGAACCAGCAGAGACAGCACAAGTACCCCCAGCTCCAGGGTCTCTAGCTCCAACTCCCGCAGCACCACCAGCTCCAGCACCTCCAGCAGCTCCAGCTCCAGCAGCACCTCCAGCAGCAACAGCTCCAGCGCCTCCAGCTCCAACTCCTGGAGCACCACCAGCTCCAGTAGCTCCAGTACCTCCAGTACGAGCACCTCCGGGACCAGCGGCTCCAGCACCACCAGCAGCTCCAGCACCAGCAGTACCTCCAGCAGCTCCAGCTCCAGCAGCTCCAGTACCTCCAGTACGAGCACC